CTACAGAGACATTTTGTTTATGTTTTAGGGACTGTCCTTTCCATGGTTTCCCTAGTCCCTTAGGTGCTGTGTAAGTTGTATTTCCTCCATTAATTCTTCACTAGAAAAACGTGCATATGCTCAAGCTGTGATAGGAAATAAACAATGAACTCAGGAGTAGCATCTGCCCAGAGATCCCTGCCATTGGACGTTCGATGATTGGGTAAAAAGTTAACTCATCAGTACCTTACACCTATTAGAAAGGCTACTATAAAAAAAGATTTTTTAAAAAGGCCAGGTGCAGTGGCTCATGCCTGTAATCCCAGCACTTTGGGAGGCCAAGGTGGGTGGATCATGAGGTCAAGAGATCGAGACCATCCTGGCCAACATGGTGAAACCCCATCTCTACTAAAAATACAAAAATTAGCTGGGTGTGGTGGCGTGCACCTGTAGTCCCAGCTACTTAGGAGGCCGAGGCAGGAGAATTGCTTGAACCTGGGAGAATTGCTTAAACCTGGGAGGCGGAACCAGTGAGCTGAGATCGTGCCACTGCACTCCAGCCTGGCGACAGAGTGAGACTCCATCTCAAAATAACCAAAAAAAGACAGCATTGCTGAGAATGTGGAATATTTGGGACCCTTTCTACCATTGGTGGGAAGGTAAAATGGTCCAGTCACTGTGGAAAACAGTAAGACAGTTCCTCAAAAAATTAAACATAGAATTACCCTATGACTCCACAATTCTACTTCTGGGTATATACAGACCAAAGAATTGAACGCAGGATCTCAAACAGATATTTGCATGTTCCTCTTCATGGCAGCATTATTCACAATAGTCAAAAGTTAGAAGCAACCATCAACAGATGCAAGGATAAGCAAAATGTGGTATATCCATAAATGGAATACTATTCAGACTTAAAAAGGAAGGAAGTCCTGTCCAATGCTGTCACATGGATACAGCTTGAGGCTAAGTGAAATAAGACAGTTACAAAAGGATGGATACGGTATTCTGCTTATGTGAGGTCCCTAGAACAGTCAAAATCTTAGAGACAGGAAGTAGAAGGGTGGCTTCCAGGGCCTGAGGGGAGACAGGGATGAGGAACTAGTGTTCCATGGGGACAGAGTTTCAGTTTTAGGAGATGAGAAGAATTCTGTGGATGGATGATGGCAATGGTCACACAACAATGTGAATATACGTAATGTCCCTGAACTGTACACTAGAAAATAGTTATGAAGTTAAATGTTAAGTTATGTGTATTTTAACACAATAAAAAAGTTAATTGGTAGGTCACCTGGGACTGTGGTTTAAAGCAAATGCTTGATGGTTAGACTAATCTGGATGGTCCAGCTAACCTGACTCTACCCCTTACCGGTTATAAGGCCTGGACAAGGGGCTCTACCCCTTGAGCCTCAGTTTCCTCATCTGAAAAATTAGAATAATAATAATATCTAATTTATATGAAGGCTTTTGGAGGTTAAATGAGGTAGTAATGCCTCTTACATATAAATAAAATTCTGAGTATAATCTATGGCACATAAATTCTAAATAATAATGACTCAAAACCATATATCATTGGTTTTGTTAATGCTGATTATTATTATAATTAATACTATTAGCTTAATTCAAAAGCTAACATCAACCTACAGCAACCTGCAGAAAGATGTCCTGCCAAATATTTGCTAATTTAATCCAGGAGCAAAAATCTAGGATTCTGGGCTTGAGTGAGCTTTCCTAATTTCTAAAACTCTGATGCTCATTTTGTCCCCAAGAATGTGTTTAGGTGACAGAGCAATCAGAATTTGACATGTATAAATGCTTGGCATGTTAAAATAATGAAAGATATTTTCACCATTGTAAGGAAACACCTTTTCATCCATCTCTCTGGTTTAACATCACGTTTTTCTATAGCTTCTCATGATTTCTTCCTTAACAACTGGAATAGGTGTGAAAAAGCTAAACTGAACACATAGCTACTTAGAAATGAGCTGCTTAAAGTGTTAAAATAAGAGAAACAGCAAGCATGAGTTTAATGCTATGCATGCCGTCACAATACTTATTTCCCTATTTTAAATTACAGAGTACACACACACATACACACATATATACACACACACAGGCGGAATCACATCTATATTGCTGAGATTTTTCATTGTATAACCATATATCATTTTAAATGATTTGAGGCAAATTATTAAATAAAAATGAAAGACTGAACTCCATAAAAAGGAAATCACCTGAAATCAAATATAACCTTGCTAACAAACCATCACATTAGCAACATTTTTAGGTGCAACAACATAATCAGCCCCTCTAAGACATCAAATGCATTAAAAACAGGAAGCACTAACTCTAATTCCTAATTTCAAGACAGGCAAATATACCGTTATTACATCACACGTTCTAAGGAGATTTGTCTGCGTGGGTCTGCTTCTGAATCCCTGAAGTTACATACTTGTACCACAAGCTCATACTCTTGAAAGAAAATTCTGGACCCAGTCCACATAGAATTTTGGTCAAAACATCTAATTCATTACAGAGAAGAATTTAGTCTTTTCCACAGAAGAGACAGCATGTGTTAGAATGAGAATACTTTATAGAAATGACCAATGACAAGCCAGCTATGTAAGCGGGGCCTCTGATGCTTGGTGTTAGCAAGAGACAGACAGTATTATTGTTGAAAGGGATCTTTGAGATTATAGAAAGGGCTGAGGTGTGAATAATCGAACACCATCCCCTTAATGCCTGAAGGAGAAGTGAGACAGCAAAACAAATCAAAGTTCCAGGAGTTGCACCGTGTATGGTAAGCGCAGACGCAGAGGACATTTCTGCAGGAGAACAGAGGTAGAAGTTTGCTCAAGTAACAGTTGCCACCCTGAGGCACCACAGCACAAGACAACAGCGGAAGTGAACATGACAACGCGGATGGTGGGTGAAAAGAGTCTTGCCTGGATACTGACATTTTTAAAGTATAGAAGAAAATCGCAGGCCACTGAAACAGAGGCTGACGGTGCCCAGCAGGTTACTCTTGAAATCAGAAACAAAAGTTCATGAGAGACAAGAAGGCAGAAACAACAAAAAAAACTGAGAGTGGATCGCTAACTTGCAGGAGCTGTGCAGCTGAGGCTTTGCAGGTTTTAGAAGCTCTCCCTACGCCACGTCTTTAAATATATGTATGTTCAGTCAGCAGAAGGAAGGGACTAATAAGAGCCTTCTGTGGTAGGCACCTGCATCAAACAATGGCACTGATCTCAGAGGGATTTTAAACAGCTGTGCATAAACTTCAAAAGTAATTTGCAACCATATTGGTAAATGTCACCCTTCTTCCCACTAGACACAGCACTTTTAAAAGAGATTAAGCATCCGCAGTAAGCCTGCCATTTTACAAGCGTTACCGAAGATAAGTTAGGGGAAAAAATGAAGATGATGATTCACAAGGTCGGGGTGTGGGGTGGGGTAGGGGACCCAGGACCTTAAGAATAGGGCTTGTCTGTCACACAGCCTCGGGCAGGAAGGGCCCAGTGGGGACCGTGGCTTCTAGGGAGCAAACTAAGGGAAAAGAACAATGGAGTGGACCCTCCAGGCTTCCTGCATCTCTCACGGAGCCTCCCGAATCCCAATGGTTTAGAATTTTCTTTGGCAAAAGAAAAGGACAAAGAGGCCGGAGTTGACAGAAAGCATGGGTGGACTCCTCAGATCTTGTAGGTGGTTCTCAAAAGAATTCAACAGGCTTGAGGTGTGTTCTGAAAGAGCAACTGGAACGTCAAGGACTTGGACACCAGGAACAGATGGTTCACTTCCCCACGGGCAGGGAAAGGGCACGGAGTGCTCTCTCTTCGCTCCACCTTCTCCAGCCTAGTCCCCTTCAGCCTGTGCCACTCCTGAATCATCTTTTATTAGCACCACGTCCAGCCCGCAGACGGGCAGGACAGCCCAGGGGACGAGGCCGTTCTGTGGCGCTCTCCAGGCAGGAATGACCGGAGTCTACCAATCCAGCCAGCCCGTGGACCTCTCTTCATGCCCACTGGGGAGCGCCCACGCCTGTAGCATTCCACAGTCACTCTCCCATTGATAACGGCGGCTCTCGAAAATCCAATACCACAAGATACTTTATTGCACAAATTTTGCTTGGTTAACCTGGCCCTCAAAGATGGAGAATAACCTCACTTGAGGCTACAGGAATGAGCACCCAGACCTTTTTTTTTTTTTTTTTTTTTTTGGTATCTTTCAAAGACCTGCCTTCCCCTCCCCCAGGCCCTTGACAAGAAACTTGGCTTGTTTAGAAGCCTGAGCAATGGCACCCGCGTCCGTGTTCCAATACATTCCCAGAAAACGGGGTATGCTCCCCTGTGGACAGGATACCATCTCCAAAAAACACCTTTCCTCACGCGTTTTTTACCAAGAATATAAAAACTTTCCACCTTCCTCCCTCCCCGCAGGCCCCCTTTCGTTCAGGTGAGAAGGAAAAGAGAGAGGAAAGGAGGAAGCGCCCCCAGGCCGGCGGCCCCCACCCGGCTAAGGTCGCCAGCCTCCCGCATCCCATGCAACCCGCGCCCCAGAAACCCAGCGGGGAAATGCCCCCCGGTGCGCTCCTGCTCCCTCTTGGTTCCATTTCCTACTCCGCCTGCTCCCCCGGTAGCCCTCACCCCTTCCCGGAGGCTCTCCGAGGGGCCCCGGGTGGCCCTTCCCGCCACGGGTCTCGGCCCCTCCAGCCTGCTCCCTCCTAGCGGCGGCGCGGGGCGCGGGGCCCGGGGCCCTACCTGGAGCGTGCGCGGCGCCGCTGGTGCCCGGTGGCGCGGGGACTGCGCGGGGACTGGCGGGGCTGGCGGGGCTGGCGGGCCGGGCGCACTGCGGGTGCGCCCCGAAGGCGTTGCCGGCCAGGGGGCGCTCGCCAGCCTCTCCGCCAGCCCAGCCTCCTGGGACCCGGCACCCCTGGCCAGGGATGCGCGCTCGGTCCCCCGCCGTGCGCCCCCGGTCGCGCGCCCCAGCTCCTGCTCCCCACCTCCCGCTCCCCACCTCCTTACCAGCCACTTGTTGCCCAGCTGCGAACTGGAGCGGGAGGCGGCGGCCGGAGGGCCCAGGACAGCCCCGGGAGGGCGGCGAGGCCGAGCAGGAGCGCCCAGGCTCCGGCCACATTCTCAGCGTCAGGAAAAGGGGCGAGAGACCACATGCCTCCCTCTCGCCAAACTGAAAACGAAAGGGCGCTCCAGCAGATTGAGTGGAAAGAGCTGTGTCTGTTTTCTCTGTTTTTTACGCTAGAAAGGTCTTGTAAACATTGCTCCTTTTAAAATGACCTACCCTGGGAAATTTGGGCACACTTCTGTCCTGGGATCATCGTTTCTAGGTGGCTTCTGACCTGGGACTCTGATTTTCTGTATCTGCACATTGTCGTTTTATACACAATTGCCAAGGTGGAACTGTTGTCAACTTCACTCTGCTTGAAGCTGCAAAGGTGATGTTGCCACCGTGCTTGTCATTTTAGGACTTTTTATGCCTTGTGGGTAATACTAATGATGGTCACAATGAGGATAACTGGGGTGGTTTCCTTTCTGTACTCCATGTAACTAATTTCTCATTCAGGCTAGAAAATTGTATGTCTGGTTACTAATACACTTACTGAATGGTTTCCTTGCAATGATGACATCAAATTATTAAAATGTACTTGATTAAGTCTTTTCTTGCTGTAGTGTACGAAGATCAGATGAATCTGAGAAGTAAAACAGTAATTTTTTGTTCTTTTTTCTTTTCTTGTTTTGAGAGAGACATTAAAAACGATTAAAACAAAACCGGCCAGGTGCGGTGACTCACACCTGTAATGTCAGCACTTTGGGAGGATGAGGCAGGTGGATCGCTTGAGGCCAGGAGTTTGAGACCAGCCTGGCCAACACGGCAAAATCCTCTCTCTCCTAAAAATACAAGAATCAACTGGGTGTTGTGTCACCTGCCTGTAATCCCAGCTACTCAGAAGGCTGAAGCTGGAGAATCATTTGAACCTGGGAGGAGGAGGTTGCAGTGAGCCAAGATTGCACCACTGCACCCCAGTCTGAGGGACAGCAAAACTCTGCATCCAAAAACAAAAACAAAACAAAACAAAAAAACAACAAAAAAAAAAGGTGTAGCAAAAGCCCAAAGTTGAATTAGCAGCCTTCTGATCATGGGAGTATAGAATGTCAGCTAAAAAGGACCTCCGCGGATGGCAAGACAGATGAAAACTGAGGCCCAGAAGTGTTTCATGACTTGATTAGATCACTCAGGTGTGCACTGGGAAATGAGTTATCATGATGCCCCTAATCTATATGAACCCAATAAAGCCAACACACACACACCTTTTAAGGATAAAACTATATTCCATTAAAATTAGCCCCACATTTGTCAATATCCAACAGCATTGGACTGACCCTCAGGCCAGAGGCTGTAGCTCTTGGAAGATCCTAGCCAGGAGGCTCAAGAGTGGCCAGTACCTCAGAAGTGCTGGCTCACTCTGACATCAGCAGAACCTGGCATATAGTAGGTGCTCACTGGATATTTGCTATGGAAATTTGGCAGGAAAGTGTGTCTATGTCTGGAAACAAGGAGGCAGAGCCGAAGCAGAGATTCCCAAGCAGATTCTTTCTGCAAACTACAAAACAGAAGCTTCCCTAGCTCAGAATGCCATCCACCTGGCTCTTTCTGCAATTGTTTTTCAGTGGATCCTGTTACACTGCAAAGAAGAAATGGCAAACTGGTAACAGCTGCTGTGCCTAAAAGATGGTAAGTTCCTCACACCCCATATCTGGGTTTCTCATTGACAATTAGGCACTGAAAGGAAGCTCATATGTCCTGTTAATTTAATCAGTAGTTAGTGGCTTCAGAAAAAGTTTGGTATATACACCAGGTATGAGAAGGACTTTTTTTTTTTTTCTTTTTGAGACAGAGTCTTGCTGTGTTGCCTAGGCTGGAGTGCAGTGGCATGATCATAGGTCACTGCAGCCTTGATCCCCCAGGACCCAAGTAATCCTCTCACCTCAGCCTCCCAAACAGCTGGGACTACAGGCACACACCACCATGCCCAAGCTAATATTTAAAAAAGATTTTTTTTTTGTAGAGATGGAGTCTCACTATGTTGCCCAGACTGGTTTTAAACTCCTGGGCTCAAGTGATGCTCATACCTCAGCTTCCCAAAGTGCTGGGATTATAGGGGTGAACCACCATGCCCAGCCTGTGATGACTCTAGATGCACCACTCATATAATATTCATAATCTTATGTGATATGTATCATCATCATCATCTCTCTTTAACAGAAGAGAGTAATGAGGCTTAGAAAGTTTATGCACCTCCCTCAAAATCCCACAATTAATAAAGTACCAGAACCAAGATTCAAACCCAGGTCAGGCTAGAGCCACCATCTCAAGAGCTGCTGAATAATTAATTCTCTTTTTTTTTTTTTTGAGATGGAGTCTTGTTCTGTCACCCAGGCTGGAGTACAGTGGCATAATCTCGGCTCACTGCAACCTCCACCTTCTGGGTTCAAGTGATTCTCCTGCCTCAGCCTCCTGAGTAGCTGGGATTACAGGCATGTGCCACCATGCTCAGTTAATTTTTGTATTTTTAGTAGTGATGGCGTTTCACCATGTTGGCCAGGCTGGTCTCAAACTCCTCACCTCAGGTGATCCGCTCGTCTCGGCCTCCCAAAGTGCTGGGATTACAGGCATAAGCCCCTGCACCCGGCAAGTCTCCATTCTTACATGGTGCACTCAACTTCTCTTTCTTTCTCTTTTGGACAACTGATCTTTGAGGACTCTTGGCTGCTCAGTCGTCCTATAATCGTATAGTCCTACAATAGGAAACCTGTTAACCTGAAGACTGGATCTTTTAAAACAACATCCATCATATATCTAAAAAAATTGGGATTTTTTCATCTTAAAATTTCACCTAAAACAAAAAATTCACGTCTGTTCTGGGTATCCATTAGGTGTAGTGGACACCTCTAGATATTCTTGATGCCAGCATCCTGTAGACCCGCCACCTCCTTTCCCAGGTCACAGGGTGTTTCTGTTTTCTATCAGACACTGTCTCTTCATTTTATAAACACGGCTGCTCTCAGAAGTTCTCCACACCTTTGTTCCTGGAAGAGGAAATGGCATTTCCTGGAGGGGATGACACGTGGGCGGTGAGGTTCCACTCATTACGTTAAACACACACCAACTTTCAGCTGTGTGCTTCTTTTCCTCTTTCAGGTTCTACCCTGACGTTTCCTGGAATAATGCCGAGGACTGCCTGTCAGGGAGCCGCTTCATTCAGTTCACTTCATCTCGGAAGCACCTGACCCCTGCCTTGGATCCAGCGGCCCTCCTGGGAGCTGAGGAAGGAGGAACTCCCATGTGTCTGCTCCCGGAGCTGCCACAACCCTTTTTCCTGCAACTCGGAACCTGGAAAAAGGAACCCAGGACATCACTTTGCTTTTGTTTTGGACCTAGTTGGTGATTATACTCTCTCTTCCATGGAGACTACCCCTTGCATCCTTCCTTCCATATGAGATTTAGGATAGAAATTAAAAAGAAAACATCTTATTTTGAGTCTTGATTTGGAGAAAGGTAGTATTCGGGGAGAAGCAGGCTATGATACACACAGAAAATTTGAGGACAGAGTTACTTAACAAGGACATTTCTGTCTCTGCAGCAGTCACAGCTTGGAGGAAACCAGTTCGCACTATTTGATGAGGAACTGGGCCACCAAACCACTGATACTTTCCCAAAGGTTTGGCAGAAATTGTTTTTCGAGTGACTCACCAGAGTCCTAGAAGAATCAGCATGGAATTAGAGGACAGTGACCTACCCTAACCAAAGACATGAGCGATGTGTGAAGTCTAGTGTCAATTTATTCAGAAAATATCAAAATTATTTTGGGAGCTATGGGTCAGAGTTGATAGGCACAAACAAATACACAAACAAAAACATAGGTACTTTAAATTTACAGCTTGGATAAGAAAAAGAGAGATGTTGTCATTTCTCTTCTTCAATCCAACTTTAGATTTGGATTAATTAGAAAAATTTGGAAAAAGATAATTAGAAGTCAGAAATTGTTATTGCCAGAAAAGAGCCCTAAACCCTGAAACAAACAAACAAACAAACGAAAAACCGGGCCCTCCTCTTGGGGAGTGATAAACCTCGATTACTGTTGATAGTAAAACTGATATCAACTCTTCCAGTGAAAACCAGTGAAAGGCGAACGTAAACCTTACCCTAGATTAAGGTCTGAAAACTGTTTACAATATATATTTGAAAGTTCCATTATTTAAAATATGTATTAGACATGCTTTGTAATGTTAAGTTACTTTAAAAAATCTTACACAAGGGAGGGGAAGTATGTATTATTCCTTCATTTAAAAAGAGATAATGTGTGAATATTAGTTAATGTTTATCGTACATTTACTACCTGTGTTGAGGCATAGTGTGACACACTTTATTTCAATTATTTAATTTGATTCTAACAACGAATCCCCTGAGCTGGATAATATCCTCTTCGTTTTACAGATGAGACAATTGAGCCTTGGAGGTTAAACAAACGATTTCCTAAGCTCATTCAGCCAATAAGTGGTAGGGGACTGCTTGACACCGGTCCGATTGATCCTCAAATCCATGATTTCTGCCATCATATTCACAGAAACAAGACAAGAGCTGAAATTATAGTCTGACTCTTGAAACAGTCAAAGAATTGTGTATGTTTATGAAAGTTCTGATTAATAAGATATTCTGAGGACAAAAGACATGGATAGATGGGCAATGTGTAGATTAGAATGTATCACAATGTCCACTAAATAATAAAACCATAGAAAATGAAATGTAATCCTTACTGTGTAGAATATTTAGAGTAGATTGTTTTTTCCTGGGTATCAGTCACTATTACACTATACAAGAATGAAATTAAACAAGAAACAGTTCCTTTGGTTATTTTATTTTTTTAAAGGTGGGAGTTATAAAAACAGTATTTGCCATCTGGTTTTAATTATGGCTTTGGAAACTCTATGGGTACAATTTGTTGTCATCGTTGTTGTTACCACTACCAATACAGAGACTCTAATTGTGACATTAGTTTCTAAATCAGATAGTGAATAATTACGTTTTCAATGTTGTCTTAACATAGATACAAGTTAACAGGATATGCTTCTGGTGTGTTTCTGGATTCTAAGGGTAGAACCAACATAAAACTAGTCAGTCCAAGTATTTCTAAAGATCCCCAGACACAGTTCTCCTGGATTTGGGAAGCCTAGAGATATTAGCAGAATAACTATGGCCCAAGTGGGTATAAAATTTTGTCTGAAATTAAAGAGATATTGATTAGATAATCCCCAGAGACTGCTTTTTAGTGATTATCTTCCAGCAGGGTAAAACAACAGCAACCTGAAAACCCAAAAGACCATATGTTTTAATGGCAAGTCCTTCCCAGGAAGAATTAATCAATCTGAGAATTCATCTGTAAATCCAGGAGGAAGAAATCAAGATGAAAACTGTCATATTGATAAATTTGATGGTTGCAATTTCATCGTTTGACATAGTGCAATTGCTTGAGATTTGAAAGGGAACTTACTTTTGAGTAAGTCACTTTATCTGTTTAGATTTGAAAGGCACTTTACTTTAGAGTCAGTCACTCAGTCTCTTTTTTGAAAAGGCAAATGCCACACCTGACCCTCATCATTCCCTTCTCCTTTGTCCATAGCCTGGCTTTATTCTGCCATTCACACACACACACACACACACACACACACACACACACACACACATTGGGAAGAGATGTCTCATTTTACAGAAAGTATGCCGGGCTACACAGGATATTCTATCAGGTTTCTTCCAGCTATAAAATTCTGATACTATCAAATTAAAGTACAAATTAGATGTACTACAATTTGCTTCTAGTGATACTCATTGCTAATTTCCTATATTCACTGGCATAAAAAAAATTCAAAGACCCCCTCATAAAAGGCTATACTGGTGGTACCAGGAAACACTGAAAATCATTACTCTCTGTGTTGTGTCCAGCTTTTTTGGCTACATCATCACTTCGACCATTCACTTTTAAAGAAAAACTTCTGTGGAACAAAAATGTAAAGATTTTTCTTTTTTTCTTGGCGGCTTAGCTCAGTGGCCTAATGTGGCTGACTATGTGTGCCTGTTGTGTGAGTCACTTAGACGTGCTTTGTTTCTTGGTCACAGTTTATCCCTCAACGCAAGCATCTCACCCTCAAAATGTGTGTTTGGGACCCAACTGCAAACCTGGAGATGGGTTATTTCTTTCACCTTGGATTGGCTCATCTGCTGTGAGTGGAGCCAAGCTGACACTTCCTTTCCTTTCTCTTCTTTCCTTCCTTTTTCTCTGCCTATCACTAGGTAGAGGCGGCACATAAGAGAGGGAAAGTCATGCACGTGGAGTCCAGCAGATCACCCAGAAGGCAGATGTTCTATCTCCAGTTTACTCATTAAAACAAACAAAACCACACCTGGATTGCCTGGTACTTAAATAAAATGCACTATGATGACTGAAGAAAAATCTCTTATACTTAAGAAATAGTCTTAATAGCTCACATTTGTATTTCTATTAGCTTACAATTCTATTTCTAATATTTGTATAATATTAAAAATAATTTTAAAAATGAACTCATCTTTTCATATCTCTTATGAGAACTTGATGGAGATAAGATGTTTGCAGATCAAAGACATGTAGTATTTGAAATCAGAAAATGGGTTTGTTTTTCTATGCAGATTACAAATGTCATGCATTATTTCACAAACTCTTCTCAAAGTGGTGATTTTAAAATTACTAAAAGGAGGGTCTATTCATATCACCTCCCAGCATTTTTATAGGTAAGATTGATTAGCTATACCCTCTAACACGCTTTGATCCCTATAAGCCTCAAGAAGAGAATGGTGCAATTTGAATTAACCATTACCCGTTATAGAGCATTTACATCACAGTATTTTCCATATATGATCTTATTTAACCCTACAGCAATCCTATGATATGGGGACTGGGCACACATTACAGATGACAGCTTGAGGCTCAGAGAAAGTAAATAACTTACACAAGACCACAAAGCAAGTGAGAGGCAGAGCCAGGATCAGAACCCAGGCAGGCTTCATTAGGAGCCATGCTGAACTCTGTCTAGAGAATTCGGACCACCAACTGCAAAGGCTAAAAGAAAGGGTCGTATTCCACATGTAGATTTCGAGAAACGTTTGTTATTTTTCTTATGATAAAGATTATGTATACACAAACACACACACACACACAACTAGAAATTAGAGAAAAGAAAAAAGATTAGTCAGAATGTCACCACGCACAGACAGATAACATTTTGGTATTTTTAAATATTCATTTATCTATACTTTTTTGAATTATTTTATTTTAAAAATAACTTTTACTGGTTGCCTGATTATAAAGTAATAAATATGAACCATAAATATTTTGAAAAATATAAAACTGTATATAAAAGAAATTTGAAATCATTGCTAATCTCAAAATATAAAGATACCTGTCAGTACTTTGGCATTTTATCCTCCTTGTGGCTGAGGTCACATATCTTGAGACCGAAGCCCATATTTTCTATACCATACAGTTTATAGTTTAGGCCACAACATCATTTTTACAATTGTTTCTTTGGTTTTGACTTGATTTGCTGATGTTCTATTTTTTAGAAAATTGCAGATGTGATTTTTAGACGGCTGATTGGAATGTGCTGGTTGCTGTGAATAGGACAAGCTACTTTGCTTTTTACTGAAGGACAAATATTGTTCCTACACATATAAAAAAACTCAAAGAATGAGTAATGATACTGTTTAAATCTGCCCTTATAACTCCAAAGAATGACTTCAAATTTTCTTTCTTCCAAAGCAACTTTTAAAAGCATTTCCACTGTACAGAGAAAGAAAACCACAAATTCCTTGTTTAATATCTGGGATCACGTGCTTTTAACAAGAGGAAAAGGTCAAGTCTCAGGCAACTGACACGGAACTGCCAGATTAGGTATGTAAATGAAGGAGTTACATCAATTTGGGAGGGCTGCAGAAATGTGGGCTGGATTTTAATCACACTGAGAAAGTTTCTCTTGAGCAAAAGACATGATGGTTGTTCCCCAGAACCTTTCTGTCCTGTCCCTTGCTCTGCCAAGGGAAATAGAAAAGACATAAACATTTAAGAACTTAAAAGGCTTCTCGATAAAACTCAGCTTGGTGCAGCACATTTTAGCTACCATAGCTTTACTCCCAAGCTTCCGCCTTTCCTAGGAACGTAGTAAAAACCTGAGCTAAAGAAACCGAACAATAGAAGAACTGAAATTCTTTAAACCTGAGTTCTTGAGGTTATAGTCTTTGTACACTCCATAAAGTCAAAGCTCTAAAAAGATTTTTAAAAAACAAAACCCTTATACCTGTGTCTGTTTCCCCAAACCTCTCTACATTTACTTACCTTTTGCAGACTCACACATTCTCTTTTTCTTGTGATTGCGTTTGGATAGAATGAAGAACCTCTCCCACAGTTCTCAACTTAAATTATTTCTTCTACTTGTTAGCTAGGAAAGAAAATTCAAAAAATTCAATGCTCTACTTTGTAACTCCGTGGACATAGTGAGTCCATTATGTACATCATGAGGAGGGAGTGGAGAAAGTGGAATCCTTATGTAAATTCATACAACTTTGGAAAACGGTTTAGCAGTACCTACTAAAGCTGAGCATATGCAAAACCAGTGACCCAGGCATGTCGTGGGTACATAACCTACAAAAATGTAGACATAGGCACTAAAAGACATCTACACCATGTTCACTGCAGCCCAGTTCATAATCAACCCAGAGTAGAAAAAACGCAAGCATCCACCAACTGGAGACTGCACAATAAAACTGTGGTATTTTCATTAGTAGAAACACGCTACAGCTCGAACACATGCTGAAAACAAAATGTCAAGTAAAAGAAGCTAGGTCCAAAAAAAAAAAAAAGACACACTGTATGATTTTATTTACATTAAATCCAAAAACAGGTAAAATTAGTTCATGCAATGGAAAGTCATGAGAGTAGCTACTGCATCTGGGGAGGCGGGTGGTGGAGTGTCAGGGAAGGAGCACCAGGATGGCTTATGGTGCTACTTTTATGACTTGATGTAGGGGGTAGGTAATAGGTAGGTCCACTTTGTAAAAGTTCACCTAGCTGTGCATTTGTGACTTGCATTCTTTTCTGCATGTGTCAACTCTGGTAAAAAGATTATTTGAAAATCAAGTATGATATTATTATATTTACAAAGCCCTTTCTATGTAGCCAGAAACAGGGTCGGTTTCCCAGGTGACTGAGAATTCGTCAGGAGCTTAGTGAGTGGAGGGCAGGGGACAAGTGTGTTCTTTCTCTCTCCCTCTCTCTCTGCTATTCTGTAAGGTAACAAGTTAGGCTTGGTGACAGTGTCACCTTAAATAAGCCATGCATACTTTCTGAATCCTTTTTTCTTATTTGATGAGTGAAGTGTTAGTTAAAATGGTATCTCCAGTCCTTTCCCATCCTCACTGCTATGATTCAAGCCCCCTCCTTTTCTGTGAGGCTTCCTCTGACCTCTTGATTTCACAGTCACGTTTCTCTCTTCCTCTCTCCTGTTTCCTCCCTCTCCACCCCCATCTCTGTCCCCCCAGACTTGAGTTTGTTTTATATCTCTTCTGGTATCTCCTCTGGTTTCCTGGCACCATGTCTTGCGTAGAGCAAATAATAATGCTTTAAAAAATTATCTGTAAAGGAAAAAGTTCAGTAAAGTGTGAATTTTACATTATAGTTAGTGGTTAAATGCCTTAAACACTTAAAAAGTAGAATTTATCTCAACCTGGGCAAAAGACAGACCATGCCAATTTCTAAATGGAATCCAATAGCAAGAATGCACCAAGAACAAGCAGGAGTGGTGAGGATTTCCTCACTCTGTCCCTCAGAGGTGGCGCGTCTCATCTGTGAGATGAAAGTGTCATCACGTCACTGACACAAAGTGTAAGTACAGGGAACATAATCATCTGGGAGATTTTAATTTGAGTTAATAAAAGATAAGATGTTAAGGCTAAAAGTCTTGGGGCTTGACAAAGAATATTTAAAAGGAGGGTTGGTGGATAAAGAAACTGTGGTACATTTATATGTTGGAAGACTACTCAGCCATAAAAAGGAATGAATTAACAGCATTTGCAGTGACCTGGATGAGATTGGAGACTGTTATTCTAAGTGAAGTAATTCAGGAATGGAAAACCAAACATCGTGTGTTTTCACTGATATGTGGGAGCTAAGCTGTGAGGATGCAAAGGCCTAAGGATGATACTACGGACTTTGGGGACTTAGGGGGAAGGTGAGGGGGGGCGAGGGATAAAAGACTGGAAATATGGTGCAATGTATACTGCTTGGGTGATGGGTGCACCAAAATCTCACAAATCACCACTAAAGAACTTACTCCTGTAACCAAACACCACCTGTACCCCAAAAGCTTATGGAAAAATAAATAAAAGAGGGTTGGATGATAAGAATTTGTCATCTTGTTTTCTGAATTGTTCCATTGTACTTAATTGTACTTCTTTCCTTAAAGAGTTGAAAATATTCCTAAACTGCTGGAGGATACGCCTCTGATAGCTTCAGACAAATATCCTCTTCATTATTGTCTTGCCACATTTGTCTTTGCTCACGGAGAACCGTTCTGATCTGCGGTTTAGCCCCCAAGTGATTGAACAATATCGGTGATCTGAGGCAGACCCTCCGTGACGGACGACACATGAGTCTTTTGCATGCTTTTGCATCATGCACTGATTACCCAGACAAAACTGAGTTTGTAAAGCTGCTAAATCCAGGATCGAGTGCTGGGATAGGAGATATTCAAGGAGAAAGCATCCCGAGGGTCTCATCCCTCAGTAGCCAGCTGTGCCCAGAGCAGAGGGGGGCACAGGGTGACAGAGTGAGGCAGGCAGAGGAAGCCGCACGTGGCCAGGTGGGAATGGACATCAGGCTCCTGACTCCTCTCCTCATCCAGCTGCACCTTCAGCTTTTCACTGGCAGACACCTGTGGCTGCTGAGTTACCTTCCCCTCCAGCGAGTCGACTGGCAATTATCTTAGGGTCCTAAGGATATTTCTGGTGTTGCTGAGAAAGTCAGAGAAATAGAGGAAAATGTCAAGCTATGCTTTTGGAAAAGCATAGATGTTAACTTGTTTGGCTTCTCACTCTCAGCCTTAAAGAAACATGATCACCTTCTTCCTCACCTGTAATGGCAACAAATCCTCGTAACAAACGCCTTCCACTGATACTTGAAGAACATGCTCACATAGTAAGTGCTGGTTAGTTTGTACAACACACCTCTGCTGTATTTATCTACCTCACAGGTGAGAATGAGTTGAAATAAAACGTGGAAGTTCCTAAGAAGCACTCAATATTGTCCCTCCCCGCCCCTTTTCTGCTGTTACCTGCTCTGTGAGCAAGGGAACAGGGCAGTGTGCTGTGGTGGCCGATGGTGGACTTCAGAGTCCTAGAACTCCAGATTCATGATCATGACATGTCT